ACACTTCCAAACAAACACACGACCTCCACTGCTGTCAGCCTGAGGACCAGAGGGATCCAGAAAGAGGCCTAATGCGTTGCTCAACAGCACTGTCAAACACTGCAACGTTGCCACGACAACGGCTAATGGTTTCCATCTGGGATTGTTGGAGATCCTTAAGACACAGCCTTTATTTTCCTCACTCTCTCCCATCCTACTGCACAGTCACTCCAACAGCTCAGGACCATGACGAGCTCTAGAACTGTTTGGGTCAGGGACGAAGCTAAGAAAAAAAAGACATTTTAAATCTATTTTTAAACTGTTAAATTGATGCAACGATGGTTGGAAGATGTTTTTGAATCTTATGGTTTTTTGTGTTTGCTTTACAATATATAAAAAAAGCCTGAACAAAAACACAAGAAAGTGTTGCATCACTGAGGGACGAGGTCCCAGGAGAGTCACAGCCTTTCTAGGCCTAGACTTAGTTCTCTCTATACGGCTTTGGAAAACTTCAAAAAGTGTGAGTTCAAGAACCCGGCGGTGAATGAGGCCAGTGTATCGTGGCCTCACTATTGTTCCCCAACTTTGGCAAAACAGATCTTGTGACATCCAGTCTCTTGGCAGGGGACAGAGTCTCCTTTGTGCGTCTCCAGTCCTCAGTTCTGTGAAACTTTAACATTATCCAATTCAGTTTTTGTTTTTTTTAACCACAGTCACTGTAATTTCCTCGAGATAAGAAACCACCAAAAACAAGCAGTGATGACGGCTGTAGGACAGTCAACGAGAAATCATTGGACGTTTGGTCTGATGAGACCAAAGACCAAAAGAAAAAAAAAAAAAAAGGCACTGACCACAGGGACTTCTATGGAGATCCACTGTATAGACTGTCCATTATGTGGACCACTACTATTTGTTGGCTATATTGAAAGTGAGAGGGTTGTGAAAATATATTTTTCCAGCTAATTAGAGGACGCAGAACGAAGAGAAGGTTAAAAATGGCAAACAGAATAAGGAACCATCAGATCTTACCAGCAAGTCTCTGCGAAACCAGACCTTCAACATTGAAGACATCACTGGACTCGGAGGTTCTCGGCTGTGGAGATCCTGACAAAGTGCTGTGGCTTCTCTGGGGCTCATCCACCTGGGACAGCGGGATGGAGGGGTAGGTGTTGCTGGGTCTCAGCTGGACCTGGTTTTGAGCCGCTACAACCGGCAGTCTTTGTAAGGGAGGGTCGGCTGCCGTGGTTTCAGAAGCATCGTTTGGAAATTCCACTTTGTCTTGTGACATTTGAGCAGGTGAAGAATATCTGACCGGACCGGAGGCAGGACCGAACACGTGGCTATTACTTGCCACACTGCCCTGATAAGAGGGTCTGGTTTGGCTCTGGGAGAAGGACGGCTGTGTGGTCACCACTGCACCGTTGTCCTGCAGTGGAGCACTCTGGGACTTGGGGACCGGCGGACAGCCAGGTTCCAGGTCCAACATGAGAAGATTGAGGGTTTCGATGGATTGCTCAATCTCTTGTTGTGAGGCGCTGTCACCATGAGGGAACTGCAGGGGGCGGTGGTAGTTGGTCATCGTTGCCACAGAGGGAGGGCTGAAGGTTATTTCATCAAAGACTGGCTCCTCTGGAACTCCAAACCGCTGCCAGACATTCAGACCACGCTGGACAGCATTTCTGCTGCTGGTGGTGCGGGCGGGAGCTTGAGGCAAACACTTTGGTTCTCCCCCCAGTGACAGGGACCGGTACAGGCTGCCGTTCGGCTGGTCTGAATATGTGACTGATGAAATGTCTAAATCGCTCTGGGTCAAAGGTAGACGTTTATCCACGTGGGTTATCTGACGTTTTTCTGGACCGCTGCATTCCAAATACGGCACGTGGTCCTGACCGTTGGTCAGTGACTCGGACTGGTAGTAGATGTCAGCGGGTGTGGCTCGACCATCTATGGAGGAGAACGTTCCGAGGCTGTCCACACTGTTGCCCTCCTGACTGGTGGGCAGCTCATCATCCAATATGTCCGTTTCTCGGTCCACGGTACCGTGTCCGTTGACATGGACCTGCGCTGGCACTAGGTGGAGCATCCCTCTGGCAGTGGATGCTGTAGTGGAGAGATAGCCCTGTTGGTGCATGGGACCCTCCAGGCCGCTGAGCAGCTGCTCCAGCTCCTGCTTCTCGGCCTGACTGATTGGCTGCTGAGCAGGTGGTGTGAGGCGATGACCTTTGGGCGACTCCTCCACCACAGGAACAGGAAGTTTCTGGCTCACGGTTGATGATGATGTCTGAGGTCCTGCCGCCACCTCATCGGTGCGGTCAGTTTTAATGGAGGCGGTGGAGTTTCCTGAATCGCTGCTCACCGACAGGGCGTGGTCGATCACGGGCGAGGTATGTTCCACAGCAGACGGAGAAAGGCCATTGGCTTTCACCGCTCCTTCAACTGAGTCCTTTTTGCGGACTTTGGCGTACAGGCTGCCGTCCAGAGGTCCTTGTGTGTGGACGAGGTCTAGGAACAAACAAGTATGAGAGGCACTGTTATAAAATAGATAAAAACAGTATCTTCTTTGATCCTAAATACTACAGTCATTAACGGTAGGTCGAAGTGGCGTAGCCGTGGTCGGCCGTGAGCAGGAGCTCAGTTTACTGTAACTGCTGGAAAATATGCGTTTAAGGGCAAAGTAGCTGCAGTAAAATCAAACACCGTTTCATGACTACCTATTCTGCCCCATACAGGAAATGAGCTCAGGGGCAGTGGCATGCAGGAAATCTGAGAGCCCGCCTTACACTTTATCAGGTACTGTGTATGTTCTATACGTAGTACTAGGTACTAGGAGCATAACTTCAAACTCTACACACGAATGTCAAAACAGTTACAAAAAAACTGATTTTGCATTTTGTGACATAAACAAGCTAAATAAGCTAACAACACAATGGTTCGTCATTAGGGGGTGAAGAAAACAGGTGTAAAAAATATTGCAATATTTCAGTTCCCGATATAGTATCGATATGTTACGATATCGATTTTTTTATTGATAATTAACAGTCAAATATTCATGGTGTTAGTATCGCAATATATCGTACTGTTGCCCCGTATCTCGATAGGTATCACCAGATACTTGCCATTGCACACCCCTAGTTGTTATTGACTGTAGACTGATCCACTGTATAGACTGTCCATTATATGGATGATAGGTATCACCAGATACTTGCCAATACACACCCCTAGTTGTCATTGACTGTAGACTGTTCCACTGTATAGACTGTCCATTATATGGACCACTAGTTAGGCCTTATTTGTTGGCTGTACTGTAGGTGAAAAAAAACTACAAAAATGGACATCAGGTGACTGTTCCACTGTATAGACTGTCCATTATATGACTGTAGGTGAAAAAAACTACAAAAATGGACATCAGGTTTGATTTCCCCATGAAAAAAACAAATTCAGACTCTGAAGTCTGTGGAAAATGTTGAAAATAGAAGTCGTTAACGTCAGACTTTAACGACCCCAGAATTAGACATTATTGCTCATTTAAGATCATGTTCAGTAAGAATACAGCAGCTGTTTCCACTCGGAGCTCTCGTGACTTAACAGTTAGATCACTGTCATTACACGAAGGGTCAACGGATCGAGTCTGACCAGCAGTTTAACACAGACCATAAACACGTGGCTGGTTGGGTCATTTATACAAGTATCATTTTATATCATTAATTAAACACTCTTTTTTTGTGGAATTGTAGAAGTTGGTACATTAAAAAAAATTTAAACAGTGATTTCAAAGAGGGACCAGCCTCGACCAGAGCGATGTAGTCATCACTGGAAAATCAGCCTCACAGGGTGAAGAAGTCCGGGGCCCCTCGCCCCCGCCTCCACGAGTCGGGAGGACACAAAAGCTCAACATACGAAGAGCCAAAATAAAAAAGGTGACGCCTATAAACACAGGCTCTTCACCTCCACACTGCGTTCTCTCACAGTCACGACCAATCAAACACGATCAGGATATACGAGTCTGTTTACTGCAGCATCGCCACGACCTCCGCAACGGCTCCCCAGACTGCGTGTGTCGGTAAACATAGCTCATGGATGCAGAGAGGAAAACAATATCACGTCAGACTGAGTCCATTACAGTTACCAGGAAACCTCATAAGTCATGGTCAGGCATGTCCTGGTAACTAAATCAGATGTTACAGCTGGAACGAGGCTGAACAAAGGTTCTGTCTGTGCTTCCGTAACTTATAGATATCTCCAGTCAATACAGGCCTCTGTGACTGAGCTCGGTGGGCGGACACGGGCGGGATACTGCACGGTTTCCCTTGGATGGCCTGGGGCAACTTGCCAAGGTAGTGGCATGTACTGTGGCTGCGGTCCTGCCGGAGTTCTGGTAGGAACCAGTGAGTTGGTCACAGAAAAACACAGTGTTTGTTTACGCTGCCAATCTGTTTTTATGACTGAGTCAATTTGTAAATTTTGAGAAGTACGTAACTGAGCCAAATCAGGGGGGTGAAGTCAAGTGGTATACTACAGTGGCATCTTGACAGAGTTACTGCAGAGTTACTGCACATGTACTCCAAAGTTACTGCAGTTACTGCAGCGTCTCTTTACATCAGACTATTAACAGTTAGTTATTAGCAGAGTCAACAACACAAAAACAAACACCTAAACATGTGTATCATAAACCAGGAGCTCCTAATGTCATCAGTACACATTCATACAAGTAAAAATAAAATAAAAATAATTCAAAGACCCAGTATCACATTTGATGATCAACAACCTGCCAAGAATTAAAAATAACTCTCTCTATTTGGATCGCCTATTTTAGCTTCGTCACATCCTTCAACCACAGAACAGAAGGGTTCCCTACCTGACGAGCCGTAGACCGCAGTCCAGTCTGACAGTGAGCTGGAAAAGCCCTGTCAGGCTGGGACGTGAGGGGCAGGGCAGTCGTAAGGGGAGATGGTTTTGGCCAGTGCTCCCTCTTTCTCCTCCCTCTCCCAAAAACCTCCCAGTCTGGATCAGAGAAGCTGCTGCTGCTGCGGCTGCTGCTAATGTGGCTCTCACTGATCTAAAAGGTTCCCCTGCTGGGTGGGCATGTGTGGGAGGTCTATCACAACAGCCTGTTTGATGTTGTGTGAGGGAGGTGGGAGTGTAAGAGGACACTGAAGTCCTGAATAGAAGGTTTGACGGAAAGACACAGCAGACGTGAGGTAACGGTCTCCTCCACTCTAAGATTATGATAAGAACGAGTTCGACCACTGCTGATCGTGTTGTTCATCTGTACAGGGTCAAAGGGGTCACTCTGTCCCCTACCTCGTCATAGGCTGCAGACAGTAACAACATAAAGTGCCGTCAGTCAGGAGAGCATTAGTGATGGTTATGATGGTAATTATCAGTTACTGGTTTATCAAGAATCTGGCGCCAGATACATGCCGGGGAAATCATACGATAGACTGATAACGATTCTTACAGATATTACATCATTATGCTAATATCGGGCCGATAATACTGATTGGCCGATATTACCTGACATCCCTAATAATCCGTCATGTTTCAGAACAACAGCTCATTAAGACTTCGATACTAACAGAATGAAGTCAAAAAGATGTTTCCTTTAGAAAAACAGAATAAAGTCAAAAAGATGTTTCCTTTAGAAAATGCAATGATCCTTCAAGAATAGCACGGTATTACTGCAGTAACGGCTGATACCGGCCGAACGGTCCTTGGTACAAAAAAGGTTGGGGACGCCTGTTGTAGGTATCGATGCGGTATCGTGAAACAAAATATTGGTATATTTCAGAGTATTTCTATTTTCTTACACTCTTAGGGCTCATACCATCATAAGAGATCCACTCAGTACATAAATGGAAGGAAAAAAAAACAAAAAAACGGCGAGACGAAGCCAACTGCTTAGTCAAGTGTAAGTACAAAAGCCTGTTCTTCCCAAAAGGTCACTTACATCTCATTAAAAATACATCAAGGATGAGAGTGAAGTGTGAGAGTGCTGAGGAAAACCAGTGCAAGACTCAAGAGGAGGTTTGAGATAAGAAGGGCGGGAGGTGTGTGTGTGTGTGTGTGGGGGGTGTGTGTGGGGGGGGTCTACTGATTATGGTCCAAGTATAGTTGGTTGTGTTCACCTTCTAAACCTACTCCAGATTAGAAAAAGATCTGAACCTGAGGTCATCAGCTGTGGATCTGACCACGGTTCAACTGTAACAAAACTGAAAACAAGGCAAAGTCACTAAAGGACAGGTTCAGAAATAAACAAAACCCAAACTTTCTGACAAGCTTTCTGGTTCTGAAGGTAATAATAACTAAAAATAAAACCCAGTGGCCCACTACTAAACAACCCATGACCCAGAACCAGTCTGAGGCCACAGGTTGGAGACCACACTAGAGAGACAGTGAGATAATATGAGATAAAAGTATGAATTACTTTTACTTTTTAATTCCCTTCCCCTGTGTGTCTTTCTTTAATTCCTGAAACTATATCAGCGTTGTGTTCAGCTAAATAGGCTCAGGTTTCACACTGTGTCAGTAAATTGAAACTAGAAGATCATTATATGAAATTACAGATACTTGTTTTGACATGTTTTGGTGGCGTGTTTGGGAGCACTGGTACGACTTTTAGCATTTAATTAGCATTAGCATTCTATCCTTTTATATCTGCACGTTCTCCTCTGATCTACCTGGTTAAATTACGGCTAGATTAAAAATGAGTTCCCACACCTACACTGCTGTTCTTCTGTGTGTTCTAACAGGATACTCTTCAACCGTGAGTGACCTCAGCCGTCCAACCTCACTGGGAAGGAATGCTAACAGGGTGACTGTAAGAAAGTGTCTGTGTGTTTGTGCTTCTGTCAGCAGCAGCAGCAGCAGCAGCAGCAGCGACAGGCCCACACTGACATTTCTGACCCCCCCTCCTACACTTTTGTGAATGCGTGCACAAAGGAGCTTCACAGCTGACTGCTGCAGTGTCCGCTGCGGCCTCCTACAGAACATTTCTCTGGATTTTTAATTTTTTTTTATGAAAGAATCTTTGCCCGCTTGAAATCAGGGATCAAACCCAGCTGTTTAACATAAAATTGGTTGAGGTTGAATCCCATACGGACTAGACTTTGGTCTAAAGGTAACTGGATATGAATTGGAACAGAGGGATCTACATTTGGAATCACTAGAGAAGAAAGAAAAGAAAAAGAACCAACACCAGGAATATTGGACTGGGAATTGGTGAGAAAAAAAATCAATAACTGATGGAGGAGGAGATTGATACGGTATCGTAAAATGAAATATTGCGATATATACTGTATCTCACATCCTTATCCATGACATTTATTTTCACACAAACGCTCCATCTACATATCTGCTCCTGACCCGGTCCCTCTGTCAAATTTTAGGAACCATTGTTGCCCACGAGTCACAAAAGGTTTGTCCACGCCTGATCTGGACTCATTAGTAAATTACTCACTAACATTTAGCAGTAGGTTCAACAATCTTTTTCATTCTTGAGGTCATTGGTTCAATCCCCAGCTCTTACAGATGAGGTAACATTTTCAACTCAACCTAACCCTAACTGTTGTCCACGTTGGACCGCAGTAAAACAACATATTAGACTCCTTCAGACCTAAACGTCTGTAGGGTGTATAGATGAATGGACGTGGCCCATAAAGGCCAAATGTTGTAATGTTTCACATACTTCTGGCCCACATGGAATGGAGCCAAAACAGCTGTAGCCATTTTTACCAAATAAACACAATAAAAGCGCTCTTCAATCTTTGGAAACCAAAACCCACAGCACCCCCCCAGCCCCCCTAACCCTCCTCCCTAACCCTCCTCCACTTCCCCCCAGCACTGATACCAACCAAAACACCGACCCTATCATTTTAGGTTTTATGCAACGACTGAATGAGTGATCTACGAGTACAACTAGACACTGCACTCAGACAAAACACAGCAATCCTGAGGATCACAGACTCAAACAACAACACTGTGTTTTTTTTTCATGGTTTACTACAGTAACACATCCTCCGCTCCAACTCCACCCAGTGGGTGGAGCCTCAACATCAGCCGTGAAGAGAGACAAGAGGGAAACCGTTCCAGTTTCCTGTGAAGACTTGTTTTATTGGAGGGAGTGTCATGTTTGTTTTTATATCTTTGTACTGTGTGTTTGTCAGTACTGTCCATTCAGTCCTGTAGGTGGGGCTACGTACATACCAATTTAGGAGCGAGGGTTGGGAGTTTGGAGCCCCCGCTGCAGAGATGTTGAGCCCTGACAAGAATCTCACACTCCTGCCAACCACAAGGTGGCGCTTAAGCACCAGCCTTTATTACACATACCATAGTTTGAGAACCCACTGTGTTAGCACAGGTTTTCCTCTCAGTGGTTTGTCAAACATAAAACTAAGACGTCATATAAAAAGACATTAACAATTCACGTCATTGATTTATCTGCCACGGTCTGAACGACCACCTGATTACTGCGACCAGTACCAGCGATCCCCGGGGTAAAATAACAGCCCACAACGCAATTCTTGTTTTTCTGGGGGTCGAATAAAAAAAGCAGTCGGGCCACAAAGTGACCGCCGTTCCCTCAAAAAAGGTTCAGTCCATGCCTGTGGTCAAAACCAAGGTATGTCTCCGACGGCACTCTGCGAAAGCAACCAGTCCGCTCTCCTGGGGCTTCTGGTCTCTCTGTGGTCCACGCTCCACCACATATGAATTCAGCTTCACCAGAGTCTCTCTCTCTCTCTCCTCCCATTCACAACACAATCTGCTGCCGAGCTCCAGGAACGCTGCACGGACTTCCTGGAGATCCGTTACTGCAGACGCCGCTGAAGTCAAAACCACTTTTTGATCCACGCTCAAATCCACACAGTTGATTAAGGTTAGCTTCAATACACCAGTCATGTGTGTGTGTGTGTGTGTGTGTGTGAATACCCTCCCAGCTTGGCCTCACCCACATTAAAGTACATGTACACAGTCACATGTGTAGCTCCCGTGTACATACAGTACGGCTGCCTTCAAAGACGTCACGTGTTCATCTGTTTGAACAACAACAGATTCCTGACCGACTCCGTCCATTTATCACAGACCACATGTTCTCACACAGCGGTTTCCAGACGAACGGGCCACAAATTCACAGCTATTACTTCAAATCTGCACTGAAGTTTATTTAAAAACTCAAATATTCCACCGTCACATATCGATCAGAAATGTCACGATCCGCCTACAGAACCTCTGTGAACCACCATAGACTGAGAACCCTATGTTGAAGACCTTTACATTACAAACTAAAATCAATATAATCAAATCATTAAAATAAGGTTTTAGTGTGTGTGTGTGTGTGTGTGTGTGTGTTACCTTCTGCTTCGTCCTCACGGCTTTGACTGAAGTTTTCATACGAGTCCCAGCGGATCAGAGGATCCTGGGTGTTGTAGTCCACAGAGACACTGGGTCCATTTTCCAGGTGGTCCACACCTGGACCTAGTACGAAGAGGCAGAGCAGGAAATGTGAATGTCTTTGAATCAGAACGTTATTCGTGACGATCGTTCAATCGCTGGCTGTTTCGAAAGGATTTTATAAAAGAATTTAAAAGTAAAATTCAATGTTTTTGTGGTTTTATTTTAGCTAATCCCCCTTGATAATGTCACAAGACGGACCAGGAAAAACGTGCTCTGTCCTGGCTGAACTCCCCCTCCGACCCCCATCCCTCGTCCCCCTGGTGGCAGACAGTGACCCTGTCACTCAGACACATTGATTCTTACCATTGATTTTCTCTGGTCCAAATGAGAAAATAAACTCCACTTTTCCGTATTCAGGAAACCTGTCATCTGCAGGGAACGTCGTGAGGAAACATTGGAAAATTCATTATTAATTTACACCACATCATTGTCAAACAGAACATCAGCTAAAACTGCTCAAGTTAGAAGACATGACTCCACCCAGTGATTGTTATATATATATACATATATATAATATTGTTGTCATTACCTTTAAACGTCTCATCCAGCTCGTCTTTCCCAAAGACGATGCTCAGGTCGTGGATGGCGCACGTGTGAAACTGCACCCGGAAAATCACATCTCTGCTGGGGCTGTGGTAACGCTTGTGATAACATTTGAGCTGCAAAACAAAACAAAAAAAAAACGATTTTTTACTGTAACAATATTTTCTCACATAATAAAAAAAGAAAAATAAAGACTTCATTAATATTCAGCAGTGGGTTCTACATTTTTTAAGTCGCCCGCTCAGTGAAGCACCCAGGTGACATTTTAACTCAACATAACCATAATTGTTAATAATATAAATTGTACAATATCGAGACGGTATCGTGAAACGAAATATTGCGATAATTCAATGTATTGATATTTTTTCACACCCCTAGTCATACCCCCCCAAAAAAAACACATTTTCATTTAATCAACCTGCAGAAATGAACCAATTAGAACAGAGAAGTCCAAATACTTCAGCGCTGATACCATCACCACAGGAAGTCGGGGCAACAGAAAATAATTCTCAGTTCAGCAGACGCCAAAAACATGACAAGTTGATTCACTGCAGCCACTTTCACCCCACCCCCCCCCCAAGACTCTCAAACAGAAAAATCATTTAAGTGCTTTTATATATATTTATATATATGTTATACATTTCTATCTGCCTCTACACACACACACACAGACACACACACCATTATCCAGATCGTTTCTCCCGGTACAACAGCTTTTAAAGCCGTACTAAAAGCACACATGGGAAAATCTCTCCCCCTTCACTCCTTTTCTCCCCCGCTGTTTTTCTGGTGAGGAGCCCAGACCTGTTGAGCTTTTACAAGGACCTCACATTCACAGGTACTGCAGTAATATTTACCGTAACGTCTCTGGCACCAGTAACTGAAGAGAATTAAAAAATGTCACAAAATAAAAAAATTTAAAAAACCTGTTCAAATATTCACGGCGTTGTTCATTTTGTGTTGCATTTTTACCTCCAACCACTAGTTTATTGTACAGGAATTGCTTATTTTTTTCCATTGCAGTATAATCTATTGTTACCCCTCTATTGTGAAATATATGGTATTACCAGATTGTTGACAGCATAGCAACTGTGGTATCGGATTGACAAGTCTTGAGGGGCAGTGAAGTACGTGAGAAGGAGTACGGTACACGCAGGAGAACATGGAGACTGTGAGCAGGTGTGTAGTCAGAATGACAGATGGGTTCAGGGAACGGGTCAATGAGGCAGATGACAGATGATGGTGTCTCTGTGTCATTAACAAATTTCTCCCTACATTTCTGGAAGTTTCCGCAACAGGAGCAGCCAGAAAGGCAGGAAGTCTGCTGCCAACCTGACATCATAGTTTCCAGGAAACACGTCGTGTGCTAATGGGGGTCTATAAAGTGAGGTGTGGGACCCCGGCCAACTGTCTCTCCCCACATTTTATAGCTCTATTTTTTTCTGTGAATGGATACTATAAACCGCCGCGGCGCATACAGTAATGCAGTACAGTGTACAGACGTGCAAAAGTGGAAAAACCAACGCAATTCCCTCAACAGTAGAAAAGACGTCGAGTTAACAACTGTACATTTGGCCAAATATTTTCATAAGTATTTTATGTGTCGTTTCATTTTTTAAATGATGTTTAGAAGTGAACCTTAAAAAATAAATCAGAGAAATAACACGTTTTGTTTTTACCAGGATGTCTCCTTTCAGAAGGAGTCCAGGTTCGATGGTGATGCAGATGCTGGTCTGGCCGTCGCCCTGCACGTTACTGTCAAAGAGAAGAACGAGATTAATAAAGTAACGTGAGCCGAAACTGTCCAGGGGGGCGAGGTGTGTTTTGGGAGGGGGCAGAGGGGTCGGGGTGGGGGGGGGCTATAACGAAGAGGCAGGGTTTTTTTATGAGAAGTACCTCCATCCCTGGAACCCTGTAAAAAGGTTTGGAGCCGGAATGTTCTCAGACTTACTAGATCCCAGATGTGTAGACGGGCTGCATGGCTTGGTAGATTTTCAGAAAAGGACGGCAACCTGGAAGAGGAGAGAGAGAGAGAGAGAGGGGTGAGAGGGTCCAAGATAAATGTCTGGACCAGAGTTGAAGAGCAGGGAACACGCTCGCACCTCCCTCACCTCCTTTAGACTCAAAGTTAGGGATGCCGTGCATGATGACGTGATGGAGGAACAGGGGTTTGTTGTTGATCTTGATGTGTCCAGAGAGCAGACCCCGGAAGTACTCCACGTACCTGGAGACCAGAGGTTCACAGGAGGAACTACAGTCAATTTCCATCTATTTAATTTCATCAGATACGTTTTAAAAAATTGGGTGTTGGTAAAAGATTAAATAATATTACAAAACATAATAACAGAAATAATAAAAACAATTAAAATTTTTTAAAAAATTCCCAGTTGACTGACAGAAAGGATTTTTTTCATTTAAAACCAATGAAAAGACAGGTGGCGCTAACCTCCTCTGTGACGGCTGACCTACAGGAAGAACTTTGTCTTCATAAAATCGTTTCATGGCGAATCTGTCCAGAGCCTGGTCGGCGCTGCAATTAAAGACAGGAAGTGTTATTATCAATGTAAAAAATATATTTTTGACATGAATATATGCAATAAATATTTACAGTCAAATGTCAATGGAAAATAATATTGAAAAAATTTAAAATCCTAAAAAAAACAAATATAACTTTGAA